TCTTTGAAAAGCACTAAATGTCAAGCTCTTTGATATAATAATGTATAACCCATCATTCCTAATTTCTTCAAACATTAAGCTCAACAATCACTTTCTTTTAAATGGCTTAATTATTATCAAATGCTAAACTGAATATAACATCAAGAAAACAATAAATTTGGTCAAAATATCGTTACGCTTTTTATGATATTCTTTAATCATAATAAACTCTTAAGGTAATTCACCATTTTAATCACCTTATACCTTAAATCTATAAATTATTTCCTCATTCTTCAATATAATAAATCAAGTACTTGAATCTATCATACCTCGTTATCATTTCATATAACAATAATTAATCATCTATATTTCATCCCAATAAAATTACAAATCATATATCAAACATTTTTGTATGCTAATAACAGGCCTTATGTTGTTTGAACATTTCTTTCACCATTCTAATTTTTTACGTTTTACATATCTATCCCATTATTATAAACTACCATAATAGCCAACAAAAAATTGAAAAAAAAACAACTTATTTTATCATAAATAATTATTATATTAGTATAGCTAATGTGGCCTAATAAACAAAGCCAACATAAATACCTTCTAGTAAGTAAAACTAATTATGTTATATAAATACTTATGCATATAGTACATACGGCATAGTATATATTTATATAAACAAAGTTAGTGTTACGGCGGGCATTTGTTTGCAGGCGCAACAAAACTAGGGTTACGGGGCGGGCTTAGTTTGCTGGCGCTCCGGTGAAGGATGATGTGAGCGGAAGGATTTTTTTTCCCTGCCTTGCCAAGCTGGAGGAGGCGCAGAAATTTTAGGGCTGTAAAGGGGTCACGTAAGAATCAGCGATATCAAAGAAGATCTTTTTGGAGCGCAATGATTTTTCTAACATCTTTCTCCGTCTCGTTTATTGTTGGGATGCCCTAGAGGCGTTGCTGATGATTTCAGAGTATGCTTTTCTCTATAATGTCGGAAAACCTCGTCTGTCTTCCCCAAATCCTTGCCCCTCAAAATTCAAGAAACGACGGTAGTCACGAAGTTTTGACCGACGTTGCATAGGAAGTAACGACGGGAGCTCGCTCGCTGAGAGTTAGCGATCTTTCACCCCTTTTGCGTGCTTCTTCGTATTTCTCCTTTATATCCGCGGATCTGGATTTACTAAATCCATGATTTAGGACAAACAGCATGATGATGATGATGATTTATTGATCAACCACTATACACGCTTCTTATTTTTGTGACATGGAATCTTTGGATGTCCTACAACTTATTAGGTCATGACAGCTGCCATTAAAATGAGGATGCATAAATAGCTATCCGAAGAAAGCTTCTCTACTTGCCTTATTTGATGAAATTTTCCTGTCATCTGACCCCTATCCTATTTTTTGTTTTTCATTCTTCTTCTTTACTTTTTGAATTTAGTCCATTCTTTTGGGTTCATTATTCTCTCTGAAGTTCCAATGACATTCCCGTTCTGAGTAGTTGTAGATGTATATTTATAGCGGATCAGCATATGACATTGTTGTGGAAGAAGCATGACTATCCACTGAGTTCTTTTTTTGTGGTTGTTATTAAATTTTAATTGCCAGTGCTTATCTATTTTATTAAGTGTTGATGCTGTGATGCATTGACTATTCAAATCTTCCATGGTTGAGTAGTTATATCTTTAATTGAGAATGATGAGGCATTAAAGATGATCTGATATCTGCAAGTAACATATGCTTCCATTTTTTTTTATTAGGGCTTGAGTTGAGAGGACAGCGTGAAAACTTTTTCTCTTTTTCTATGATTCAGTGCTGGAGGCATCTTTGGATATCTGTTTATTGAAGCTCCATGCAACAGACATTGCTAATTCAGGAGGATTTGAATCTATTCAGCCTCCCCCTGCCCTGCTCTCTCTCTCTCTCTCTCTCTCTGTTATATATGTATTTTGTTTTCCTCAATAATGTGGTCGTTAATATTTCTCTTGGATTCTTATACTCATCTTGCTATGGCGAACTTGAAGGATGGCCTGAAAATTCTCAGGCAACAGATGTTATTATTTTCCTTATATATGCTTGAGGTGTGAGTGTACTTCTAGAAAGCTGCATTTTGTGTGTGTTGGAATGAAAGTCATATTGTCCTCTCTCTTTATATCCTAAAGGACTGCAGAAACCATGGTAGTTTGAGATGATCTGCATATATAATATAAAAAATGCTCAGTATATCCCGGCAACCCAAGTGATGCTACTTCTTATTCATTACCTTAGAAATTCAAGAGTCTCTATCTCGATTCTATTTGTCATGCATGTTGGAAAATTGAAATTGCCCTGATGGGGGATAATATTTTTTATTTACATTTGGTAATTTCAAGATTAGTGGCATTACACGACATGTGTGCTGTGATTATCTGTTTTATGTGTGAAAAGTTTTGAGGGAAATGATGATGATTTAAAATTTAGCCATCAACTGCACATGGAGGCTATGAGATGTTCCTATGTTTCCTATTATAGGGCTTGTCTGGATGGCCTGGAGCTTCTCAGGCAACCACATCTCCCATTAGCATAGCAATTAAAGTTTAGCAAAGTTTCTCTACTTATGTCAGGGATTCGTTGGCATCTTCTTCTTCTTCTTCTTATCCATCATCGGTTCTTGCTGCTTAGCTTTGCTACTTTTCTCTGGCTACTAGATGATGAATTACTTCTGGGAAGGCAGTGAGTTACTGGTAACAATTGACAATTTGGCCTTAGTTAATTCTTCGTCTACTAGCGCTGAGAGGCATCAAGGATGGCATGAGGCTTGATATGTCATCAAAAAATTATCTTGATCGGGCATGAATCTCGAGGCAAAATCAAGTAGGAAACTTCAAAAATTAAATCCGGTATCATTTGAACTCCAATTTCAGCAACTTACAGTCGAGTTGAGCATCTCAAAAATACGAACTCAATCCGAGTCCAAATGAGTGCAAATCAAGGACCCAAAGTTTTGTTGGAAGGTTCAAACCACAATTTGAATTACCAAACCGTTTCCAAACGTGACATACTTATAGTCGAATCTATAAGGTGTACATCAAGTTAAGGCCTTCCCCCAAGGAAGGGCCTCATTTGTAATCAACTACAATACTAGTGAATTCATTCAAACTAGGCTAGACCCAGTGGTTTTTACCCCTTTTCAGTGGGTTTCCATGTAAAAATTTTGGCGTCTCTAGTGAATGACGCACCCTCTCTTTTAATCTGATTGCGTGCCGGATCTTCGTACAAAGTTAAGACGTTAAACTTTATATTTTTCTACTGCCGCGAATACTCCAGGACACAACAAGGCTCCACTAAAAACCTAGTTGTAGTGCTATTAATTACTTCCCACAGTACTGCTTTTACCATTGGTGCCGTTACTTAAAGAACTTGCTTATATTTAATTGTTTACCTGCACGTTACAACTTTGTGTCAGATTCTTTTCAGAAGGAGGATCTGGGACGCTTTTAATCATATTATTGCTCTATTTTCATTGTAGAGGCCGGATAATTTCCTTTCTCTAGGATTCTTACTCTTTTTAAATATATTAAAAAAATTAATATATTTGCGAACATATACTTTTGCAAGTTTGACTGTCAATTATTTTGTTACATCTCTCTCGGTCATGCCTCAAAGTTAGGTTTGTCTATTTTATGGCTTTTTTTCCTAGTTGGTGAGCAAGATTATGAAAGTTCTTAGCTTCTGAATACTCTCTTTTGTTAAGTTGTGAAGCTTATTTCTCTACCGAAGAAAATAGGAAACTCAAATTTTGCCGCAGAACCTCAAGTGGTGTATCCAATATTAGCGGGTTATTTTCATTAATTGCTTCTTTGGGATTTTATTTTACTTTCAGCTGCGTTAATTTTTATTTATAAAGAGCGGTGCCATGTTTATATTTTATTCAAGACAAATTGGCTGTGATGTGGAAGATAATTCTACTGCCCTTTATATCTCTGTGCATAGCAGTTTTACTTTCCATGTGATGGTTAGACATGAAGAATGTTTTCAAAAGGCAACAGGTGCTGCTAAATATTTATTTTCAAGGATTATATCTAAATGATTGGCGGGAACTTTTACGCTTGCTCTCTATGTGATGTTTTCCATTGACGATCTGAGCCTTTTCTTTTTTCATCACTCATTTCCTTGGAGTCTGTCAGATGTCATAATCCTGACCTTAGTGCAATGTTGTTTGGCAGGTAATTATTTCAGTATGCTTGCATGAATTTATTCTTTAATTTCTGCTATCAATGAATGCTCCAGCTTCTGAGTTTCATTTTTTCATTACAGTAAGGAGGATCTACCTATGGTATTTATTGATTTAGAGAAAGCATATGATAAAGTTTCAAGATGAGGGCTAATGGAGAGTTCTAGAAAAGAAATGGGTTAATAATGCTTATATTCAAGTAATTAAGCATATATATGTAGGATTTGTTACTTGTGTTCAAACACAAGTTGATTTGACAAAGTATTTTTCTTTCTCTGTTGGATTACATCAAGGATCAACCTTAAGCCCATATCTTTCTGTTTTCGTCATGGATGTTCTCACTAGACATTTGCAAATGATTGTACCCTGTTGTATGCTTTTTGCTAATGATATTCTTTTTGTTGATAAGATTAAAGAGGGAGTCGAAGGTAAATTAGAATTATAGGGGTCAATCTTAGAGTCTAAAGGTTTTCATTTGAGTATATCTAAAACTAAATATATGGAATGTAATTTTAGTAGTAATAGATTTAGTTGAGGGATTGTGACTTTGGGCGACTAAGTCATTAATAAGAATATACGTTTTAGATATCTTGGGTCTGCTGTTCAAAGTGGTGGTGAAATAGATGAGAATATTATTAATAGACTTCAAGTTGGATGGTTGAAATGGAGGAATGCATCGGACTTATTGTGTGAGAAAATTCTATAAGATGTTGGTGAGACTAGTAATGCTTTATAGTGCAGAATGTTGACCATTAAACGAGAAGCATAATATTAAGTTATGTGTTGTAGAGATGAGGGTTGGAGTAGCTCTAGTGGATGATAATATTAGGGAGAGTCTACTTAGATGGTTTGGTCACATAAAATGGTGCGGAGATAAGAGAGTTGCTAAAATGGTTAGGATTGACTATTTATTGTGGCCAATATATTATTTAGTTTCTTTTGTCAATGGATGTTACAGCATATAGATAATACTCGGCATTACAAGGTCTTGCCGCATAAAGGTGAAAGAGTTATGGGTGATATTATTTTTGTTCATGAAATCAGTTTGCCCCGCCCTAGCCGTAATGCCAGAGACAAAAAGCTTCAATAGGCAACCTGTGCAGACTTCATGATTTTAGCTTTTTATGGCTGTAGCTGCGGAATCAAAGTTGAAGCTTGTTCTCAACTTTTCTGAAGTCTTGGCAAATCAATTGTTCTCATGGAGCTCATGAGCTCACCTTGATCTGGTGGTTGGCTTAAATGTCCCAAAAATAATTGTCTGTGACTGTAATCCCAGTTGTGGTTGCATTCTTGCTAGCTGGCAATCCTCCATGCCCTGGAATTGCGGTAGGTGCACTTTTCTAATGCAAAATTTTTTAATTTAAAAATTATTTTATTAAAAAATTGTTTAAATAATCAATAATAAAGTTGTCTCAAATGAAGTCTAAGAGGTTGTTTGGATGCTAGATTTAGGCTGGATTTGGGTCAAATCCAGCCAAACAGCCAGATGCAAAACTAAATCTCACGGTAAATCAAAGCTGCCCGTTGACCAAAAATTCCCTCTTTTCGTGGTAAATTCTGGATTTATGAAATCCTTTGGGTCAGCAGATTTACGGGATTTGGCCGAAGAAGTGCGCGAAAGGGAGAAAGTTACCTTCACAGCAAGCAAGCTCCTGTTGTTGCTTCTGATAAAAAAAATGTCTTAACTTCCGATCCAACAGGAATGGAATGTGGTCAAAGGAGCAAAGTGGAACAGCGACAAAGAAGAACTCTGTGCAAAACTCTACACTTATGTGAAGGAACGAAGCTGAAAGAAATAGAGAAGAGAAAACTAGAACCTAAGAGTTGTGCATTGAACTGCCAAACAATCTCTACTCAAGTCTGGTCTACAGATTTATAACTTGATTTCTTGAAGTGCAGAATGAACATTTCAAAAGGCATTCAAACATAACTATCTTTCAAAGATTTTTTGGGAATATGGCGAATATTGATGACTGTTTTGGGGCCTGACCAGTGATCGTTCACGTGCGTGAGCTAGCTATCTTTTCTCTTGTCTACTTTATTTGGCAAGAAAGGAATGCTAGACTTTTCTGGAATGAATTTGAAGTTCCTGACGAAACCTATTTTATCATACATCGAGCATTAATGTCTAAACTTTAAAAGTGGAAAAGCTGCAGGGAGATCAACATTATCATTGGTTCGTGACTGGAGCGGTTCTGTTTTTGCTGTTCCTATCGGGTTCTTTTTGGTGTTTTGGTATTGCTGGACGGTGATGAGGCTATGCTGTCACCTCAACCCTTGATGGCCGTAGCTTTATATTAGCAACCATGCTGCATTTCTCCTGATATCTGTTATTCTGTGATCCTGTCTGCGCTTTTATGCTCCTCAAACTATATTCTTTTTTACCATTTGATGGCTATATTGCTCGGCAACTGGGTTGATCTGATCCTGGATGATTACTTCAACTTATGGTGGGAGCTTTGTTCGGCCGTCTGAGTCCAGAATGTTTTTCCCTTTCTTTGCTCTATGGTTTAAATTTACTTGTCATTGTGGTCTAACTGACCTGATATAGTTTTGGTTTTTATTTAAAGCTCTAATATGTCCTTTTCTTTTTCTCTCTTTTTGAGTTGTAATTGGGTCACCTTTTGTAACTTTTCATTATAGTTATGAAAATGGGCGCTGTCCTTTAATTATCCCACACACAAAAAAAAAAGATTGTTTGGGAACGGGATGCTAGCGAAGACTCCTATCTTACATTTAAAGCAAGTCTTTTAACTCATGAAGTTCATTTTATTCTACCAGTTGCCTCATTTTATATGAAATCCTATCAGTTGCCTCATTTTCACCGTGAAATACCATTGGGTGGGGTTGTTCTTACGTTCGTTGGCATGTGACCCTTCTTATTTTTGCTCTTTTCTTCTTCTTCTTATCCATTATCGGTTCTTGCTGCTTAGCTTTGTTACGTTTCTCTGGCTACTAGATAATGAACTACTTCTGGGAAGGCAGTTGACTTACTGGTAACAATTGGCAATTTGGCCTTAGTTATTTCTTCTTCTACTAGAGCAGAGAGGCATCAAGGATGGCATGAGGCTCCACTAGCAACCTAGTTGTTGAGTTTGTTTTGGTGGGTTTAGCGCAAAAAAAAAAAAAAAAAGGTTTACCTAATTGATGTAAACACTCCTATTTCATAATTTTATTGTGTTGGTGAAATGACAGCCTTGCTATGAAAAAAAAATAATGAAATTTCGTTGAAGAATAAAATACTCCTGATTTATAGATGGATATACTATTGGTAGCCTCGGTTTCTCCGTGAAATACAATTCAGAAGACATAATCATTGAAAAGTTATTGAAGATTTTAGGGCCACACTCATAAAAGGTAAGTAGAGTGTTATCATTATCTCTTTTATGAGTTCAAAATTGTGAGGAAGATTATAATGATGTTGATTTATAAATAAGGGGGGTGTAAAGTGTTTCAAGTGCATGAGTTTTAAAAATATTGTTGTTTAATATGAACTAAAAAAAAGTGGGATTTACGGACCTTCCATTTTATATTATGTTATTTTCATATCCAACATCTAAATTTTTTTAGATTTCATGTCTACTATCCATAGATCAAATATAAGTGCAAGGAATGAAATAATGAAATGTAGGATTGATATATTTGATATTAACCTTTATCTCAGAGAAGATTCAAAAACTTTTAAACGCACTCTCCCCTCTTGCTCTCTTGAGAGTCAGTGAGATATACTTACAAATGCTTTTGAATAACGAAAGCTATCATAAGAGTTATTAAATTTATGAGGATTTTCTATTTATAGGCTTATCTATTTTTTAGTATCTGCTGTCAGTGAATGCTACAGCATATTGTTAATTCTCTGCATTACAAGTTCTTTAGCTTTCTTAATGGATTCACTCTACAATATCTCACGTTGCTGGCATCTCTATGTCTCTCTTTGCAACCCCCCTCTCTCGCTCTCTTGCTCATTAGAATGCCACATTGTTCTTTTTTCATGAAGAATGGCTCGACGCTTGAAGGCTTTGAAGGTGGTAGATATAAAGAGTTTTGGTTGATATTCTATTTTGTTTATTGATTCTGTTTAATTGTTCCTTGTTGTTTGGTCTGGAGGCTAATTAGAACGCGCCACGTCATTCGGTTCCCGACATTGGTAGAAAAAAAAAGTGACGAGGCGAGTTATGAATCGCCTCCAGACCGTCTGGTGTCAGTACAGAATAATTTTTTTATGCTGATTTGTTTATTAGGGATTAAGGTCCTCTAATCAAGTTTTTGGATCTTTGCTGATGCACGGTGAGTGTAGTTTAGCATTTTATTGCTATCACAGAATAATTTCTCCTTCAGTCCTTGATGCAGAACGGAATTGATGGCAGCCACCCAAAGAAAGGATATTCCAAGGTTCCTGTGGTGGTTTGAGGGCTTGAGAGGAAGTAGACATCAAGTGGTGGCTCCTTGGCGTCTGGATAAGAACCAATTTCGTTCTTGAACCTTTGGACAGCACATAGAAAAACTGGGACAGCAATTGGTGGTCTTCCAAAGTGCTGGATAGCAGGTTTTCTTTGCTGGAATAAGTGGACAGCAAGCTGGTCTACTTAAAACAGCAGGTTCTGGCAGTGTCACAGTGAATTTCCTTTGCTGGAATTTCCAACGTAAGCAGCAGTTTTGAGGCTTCTGTAGGGTGGGGAAGCAAGGACTAATCATCAAGATTTCTCTTGAAAGAATTGGGCTGGTGATTGATCAACAAGTGACTGATCTTCTGCAACCCAGGCTTTTTGATACTCATTTTGCAATGGCAAACATCTAGGATGGCTTGAAAATTCTTAGTCAATCGATGTTATGATTTTCCCTATTTATGCTTGAGGTGAGAGGACTTTCAGAAAGCTGTTTTTTTGTGTTGGAATTCACTAGTTATATTGTCCTCTCTCTCTCTCTCTCTCTCTTTCTTTCTCTCAGCACTGTACTGTATATATCATTGCAAGTAATGCTCAGCATGTCTTACTGGCCAAGTGAAGCTACCACTTCTTGATCATTACCTCAGAAATTCAAGTGCTTCTGTCTCCATTGTATTTCTTATGCTTTAAAAGATAAGATTAGAGAGAGTCGCCTTAGATGGTTTGGTCACATAAAAAGGCGGCCTTCCGATGACCCAGTTAGGAGAGTAGAGGTATTAGGTTTGACTTGTATTAAGAAAGGTAGGGGTAGACCTAAATTGACTTGGTTAGAAAAGATTAGGAATGACCTTTCTTTATTAGATTTAAACGAGAATTTGACTTTTAATAGGACACAATGGAGAAAAAGAATTTATGTAGCCGACCCCATGTAGTGGGATAAAGGATTGATGTTGTTGTTGTTGTTGTAGGAAATCTGAAATTGCACTGATGGGGGTTAATATTTTTCATTTACAGATGGAAGGCCTATCGGTAGTTTCATCTCCACATGAAACACAATTGAAAAAGCCTAATTATATGGCATTTTTCAAGATCAGTGTCATACAAATAACATTTAGTAGTGTGCTATGATTATCTCTTTTATGAGTGAAAAGTTGTGAGAGCAATGATGGTGATGATTTATAATTTAGATGTTGACTGCACATGGCGGCTATGAAATGACCCTATGTTTCCTATGATATGACATGTTTGGACGGCCTAGAGCATCTCAGGCAACCACATCTCCCATTTGCATGGGAATTAAAGAGTAGCAAAACTTAGAATGCGAAACAAGAATATGCGTGAAATGGTTAGAGTAACTCCAATGGCAGATAATATTAGAGCTGTCTTAGATTAATTGATCACATAAAGCGCCGACCTTTCGATGATCCGTTTAGGAGAGTAGATCTGACCTATGTTTTAAAAGAGGTAGACATAAAAAGACTTGGTTAGAAAGTATTAGAAAGAACTTTGGTTTAGTTGATGTAAAGGAAAATTTGACTTTTAATACAACACAATGCAAAAAAAGGATTCATGTAGCCGCCCCACGTAGTGGGATAAAAGCTCGTTGTTGTTGTTGTTGTTGTTGTTGTTGGGTTGGATAGTTGTGAGCTAATCTTGTACAAGTTTGAAGATTGCTCCGTTCTTTTGTTAGACTACTGATTTGAGCTGCATTATTTGCCTCAAGAAATTACTAGTCTGCATATTATTTTTATGGTTTTGTAACATTTTCTTTTCTCAAGTAGAAGCAAGGGTTTAATTAAGGGGTATGTTTCGTATTTATCTTCTTAGCTTATGCTGACCTTAAAGAGGGATGGCCTTGGGAGACAAAAACAGTGAGTGACGGAAAAGTTCATACATCATGGATCCTGTACTATTAGTTCTGCCTATGAAGTCGGTTGCTTGGTTGAAATGAATGCTTATGCTCTATCTTTCTCTCATATTGTATGGAGTTGCATAGGGGGAAAAAAACCAGCATTTAAAGATGAGAGTAAGAGAAAGAGGTAGAGAGGAAAAATTTTGATTGATATATCATCAAAAATTAATCTTGATTGAGCATGAATCTCGAGGAAAAATCAAGTTGGAAAATTCTGAAATTTAATATGGGACCATCCAAACTCTGATTTCAGCAAACTTATAGTCGAATTGAATGTCTCGAAAAGATGAACCCAACAACACCAAATTCGGCTTAATATGACACCAAATGAAAGAAGAGAGGAGAGCAAGATAAATATGAGATCTTTCTTGCTACCAAGCTCCTTCTCGACCACCGTCTGGCCACCGACTGTTGTCAGACTGCTGCTGGACTTACTCCTAGCCACCAATTGTCTCGTCGTATATTTGCAAGACTTACTCGGTTGCTTCGACCATCTCCCTCGTCCGTCGACTATGGTCCTGCCGACCAAACAAACATGTCAATACTGATTTTTCCAATTCCCAACATGTAATGCACTCTATATAATGTATATTTGCTACATCAAGCCAAGGCCTTCCCTCCAAGAAAGGGTCTCATTTGTAATCGATTGCAAACACTAGTGATTCATTCAAACCGGGCCAGGCCCCGTGGGTTTTCCCCCTTTTCAAGGGTTTCCACATAAAAACTCTAGTGTCTCTTATGAATGTTGCACCTCTCTTTTATTTGATAATGTTGGATTGTGGTAAAAGCTAAGATGTTAAACTTTATATTTCTCTATCACCGCGAATATTCCAGGACGCAACAATGATATATTTGAAATTTTGATGGAGATTAAGGGAAATGAAGCACATGATCTGATAGTGATTCATGGTTTTGTTGGTAACAAAGAACTGTTGTTGGATACTTATTTTTTCATTGTAATTTATATAAATGCAATTCATACCAGAGGAAGTAATTTTTGATAGTTGTCAAGTTCTGTGTTTAATGTAGTGTCTGAAGATCCCTAATGAGTTTTTTAGTAACTCGCACCCTCTCTCTCTCTCTCTTTATATATATATATATATGAAGATTGGTGTCGTAGTCATAATGGGTAATAGACTAATAATGCTGAGACTATTTCTTTTAGGATTTAAAAATTGTGAGGAAGATTATGATGTTGATAATGATTTAGAATTTAGCTTGGTTGTGCAGGGTTGCTCATTGCTGTGGAGTATCTCTATGTTTTTTATGGTACAATATGTATTCGATGCCTGAATATGAATTATTCATGAGCATTGAATTTTTTTGGCACTACGTGAAAGGGCATCTGAAGATCAATGTGAGGGCAAGTAACTCC